TACTTTGAAGCGCTGGGAAAATTATTTAATGCATCTCGTCTGGACATGGTTTCGGGCAAAAGAGTCAGCAATTTCATTTGTTCAATATGTGTGTCTACTGCCGAGAGCGCTTGCCTGACATTATCCTGCCACTCTTCACATCCTTGACATATCTCACCGCTTCACGCACTTTCTGTACTGGACATAATTCCTTAATTTTCTTCCTAGCTTTTGAGGACAAAGTAGAGGCTACATGCTGCGGTTTCCGTTCTTTATATGCCCTCCTCCTTTCGGTCCGGATATTACTGGGCTGCTTCAAAGGCGTGATGTCCACTTCCAAAGGGGACACGCTTTCATTTACAGCATGCACGAGTTCTTCTGATGGAACGAATGCTCCATCTTCCTGGGAAGTCCCTGGGTTCTGACCATATGATGCTGGTCCTATTTTGGTACTCACCAATGTTTGATCATGCGAATAGTACTCGGAACACAGTTCATCACTAGTTCAGGTAAAAGTAAAGCCGAGTCGTCCCAACGTACAAAGAAAGTCCTGCACTTGCCTAAAATTTGAATGTGCATGTTTCTACTTGTAAATAACTTCATTATGCAGTCGTTCATAGCACACCAAATGCGATCGGAACTGAATGGGAATCTTGGCATCATACTGCTAAAGCACGAGCGGGTGTCAAGAAGCACTGTCACATTCACCAAAGAAAAAATAAGAAAAATTATATCCTGTTAGCGTCGAGGAGGAGATAAAAGGGATCAGGAAGGTGGGTGAGATTCAGCGGGATGATTTAGTGCCAAGGCTAGGTAATGTGGAGGAGGCACTTCGGTAGTTCCCCACCCTTCTGGACTTCACTGGGAGGGTGTTCCTTTCGTCCTTCGACAGCGTGCCGAGTGCCGACTCACAGGTGGCTAGTAATTGGGCTCAGGTAGTAAAGGAGTGGTGAATGCTAAGCTATCGCATGAGACAGTCAATATGATCGAAAAAAGTTTCACGGGTTGAGGGAGGGATTCGAAATTTCACCACTGCTTGACTCTAACCGCACCTAACCTCGTGTTGCTACGATGCTCGAACGTTGGTGGTCGAGTTATTCTTCCTTTACAAGGTCATTAGAAAAAGACGCTCCAAATTTCATTGATAATATTTCCCGAACTACCTTGCCAATAATCTTATTTGTGGTATCATTCAACACATATTGCTTGGGAGCTTAATATTGTACTATGCACTTCCAGTGATAATTTCCAGAATTAGTAGTAAATAAGCTAGCGTATAGCACAAAGCAGCGGGTGTTTAAAAAGTTCTATCAAACTGGCAGCGTTATCAAGTGCAGGGCGGTTTTCAAAGTGAATTTTGATGTTGGGACACTCCAAGCATGTCTGCAATGAACAGGCCAGTAACAAATTTCATAAACATTGGTGAGGTGAAGAACAATAAGAAGGGATTTCCTGGTCTTTTCAGATGTGGGTGTTCAAGAACGCCATGCTCTCCTGAACTTAATACTTGTGGTTGCTTTTTATGGAGACTTCTAAAAGTTAATGTATACAGGAATAACTCACATACAGTCGAAGAATTAAAGGCGGAAATCAGAACTGTCGTGGAGAGCATAAATTAGCAATTAGAGCATAAATTAACACTATTCGCGTTTATCGAAAACCTCGGTAGGCGCTTGCAGATGATAATGGATGCTGCAGGCTACCACATTGAAAATGTGTTTTCATAATTAAAATCACCCAAACATCCTGTGTTTTATAAGCTATAATTCCAAATGATATGTGTATTACTTCAGAAGATACATGTGATGAAAACCAGAGCGTCTTTTTCTGATGACTCTGTACAACTACCCGTAGATGCCTGCTAAACTCGGCCATCAAATGCTTCCATCCTTTGCTTGGTGGGGAGAAAATGTTTCTATGGAACTCTGTGTAGTAATAATAATATGTCGCTTTCGAGAATATGAATCTTCTAATTTGTGATGCTTAAACACGGGATACTTTATGTCTGGACGAAAGGCCACCTCAAGGGCGCCAAGCAATCAAGGAAAACAGAGCCACCTTCTAAGATAAAAAACCACGAAGAGCGGTCCCAGTTCCAGTACGCGTATGAAGTCGTGCATCAAGCTGCAGAAATATTCCCGGGAGGTATGGGGTATAGAACGGCAAGTACGAGAGCTGACGTGGCAAAACCAACCAGTCGCGTAAATGGATAAGACGCACGCTTCAAGAATGTCAAGAAAACCCTTCTCCATGAGAATGAATAGTACTTGCTCAACGAATACATTCTATCCATGGCTGTCAGAGAGAAATATTTATTCATCCTCAGGTTGGAATACCTTGAATTTAGATTAGAAAAAGAGAGTGCAGTCTAAAATAAATTGCTTGAATTTAACAAATTCAGTTTGTTAAATTCAAGCTAAGGATGGTTGAGCTCTTGAAAGCCACAATCCCTCACTGATACCTGAACTTTCCATGATTTGTGGACGGGCGCGCTGTCAGTGATGAACCCAAGTTTCATCACCAATTACTATTCTGGGAAAAAAAGTTTCCCCGATTTGTTTAGAAAACTCCACGTTTTCCTTGCAGATGTCAGATCTGTTCTGAGCTGGAGTCAGCATTCTTGGAACCCATCGAGAACTGGCTTTGGACATGTGTAATTTTTCATGAATAATGTGAATCACTGTGCCCTCTGAAATCCCCTGTTCATGAGCTAAAACAGAGACCTTGGTGAAACGATCCTCCAGTATCGCACTCTCCAATTTATCACACATTTCCTGATCAGAAGCTTCCACAGGGCGCCCCGACCTTGGGTCATCATCAATTGACTCTCTTCCCCACTTAAACTGCTTGCTCCAATATTCAACTTTGTAATAAGAAGGCGAAGACACACCATAAACGTTAGACATACTGTACGTTCATGAATCTCAGATGCTTTCCCTTCTTTGGTGAGGAATTTCATCACTGAACGATGTTCAACTTTTGTCAAATCCATGACACAGACTCAGAAAAAGAAATCTAATGCGCTACCACTTTGAAAGGACTTGAGCCACTGAGCTGGTATAGTGGTGGGGCACTCACGAGACCTGTCGAGATACATCGCACTTCGAAAATATTCCCTCAGGGGATGTATCAAGACCTACCGTTGTTTCGACCGACGTGGAGAACTTTACACTTACTTTTATTAAACCTCGTCAGCCATTTCTTGCTTCAATCGTCCAAAATACTTAAATCTCGCTCGGCTCGAGCCATATCCGCCACCCCTTATGGTAAAACCTATATTGGTGTCGTCGGTAAATTTACTCATCTGACCCTCTACGCCGAGATCCAAATCGTTTAAGTAGCCCAAAAACAGAAGCGGTCCAAGGACTGAGCCTTGAGGGACACAGCTTGTGACTTCGATCTCCTTCGACGTTTCCCCATTTATCATCCCGCGTTGCTTTCGTCCTGCCAACCAACTACTGATCCACTCGCTTGTCCTACCCTGGATCCCGTGCGACTCCAGTTTAACCCGCAACCTCTTGTGAGGAACGGTATCGAAAGCTTCCGCGAAATCTAAATAGACAATGTCCACAGGATTTCCTTTATCCCTTTCTTCCGTCGCCTAGTCGTAGAATTCGAGCAAATTGGTGAGACAATTTCGACACCTCCTAGAGCCGTGTTGAGAGTCCCGAATGAGCGCGTTTCATTCGAGGAAATCCAAGAGATGTACCCTTAATATGCTATGCATGATCTTCCCTGGGATACCCGTGAAACTTACCGGCCTGTAATTTACTGGATTACTCTTTTCGCCCTTCTTAGAGATCGGTACGACGTTTGCTAGTCTCCAGTCCCTTAAGAAAATGTCTTATAGGATTCTTATATATTCATTTAGGAAAATATAGGAATCCTATAGGAACCTCAAGGAATCCTATAGGATCCTATATGCCCCATAGAGTTCAGTTTGGGACCAATAGAGTTCCCTATAGAGCCTATAGATCCCCCTATAGAACCTATAGGGTTCCCTATAGAACCAATAGGGTTCCCCATAAGGCCTATAGGTTACCTATAGGACCCAAAGGGTTCTGTGTAGGACCCGTAGGGTTCCCTATAAAACCTATAGGGTTCCCTAAAGGACCTGTAGGGTTCCCTATAGTGGCAATAAGGAACCCTATAAGGCCTATAGGACCTATAGGGTTCCCTATAGGGCTTATACGGAACCCTATAGGACTATAGGGTTCCGTTTGAAGTTCTCCTCTAGGCCACTAGATGGATGTATTGGTTTCTCACATTTCTCAAAGGGCACAAAAGTGCCCTCCCCTTACCCAAGGAATCATCTCTCAAAAGAGAGTGTTCTACGTCCCCAAATGTCTCGCCTTGCCTCATTGTAGCAATCAATCAACTTCGACAGTACCTTATTTGTCATCCCCATCTTCCAGATATAATCATGGGGTCCCGTGAATAAATATGCCCTTATTCCTTTTGAAAACCACGTACGAAACTGAGTAAACTCTATCCAAATGGAGTTTCATTAACGCGACGTGTTCGCAGGTTCAGTCTGCTATTTTCTTCGGTCGAGAGAAGAATAATACTTCTTCCTACCGAAGAAAGTAATCCAGCGACACATGTGGGACGAGGCCATAAATTATGCAGCCCCCGCAGTACTAGTATTAATAATGCATGTGTCCCTACCATGGAAAATCCTCTCATCGCTTTTATTATTTATACCGAAATGCTACGCCAATATTGACCCAGGTCGCCTTTTCCATGGTAATGCCTGGGTATCGAAACCCAAAATATCCTCCATGAATCCTATAGGTCAGGAGACCTATAAGACCCTATAGGGATCCTATAGGATCCTAAAGGTTCCTATGGGTTTTTCCTGTTTCAAAAACCTATAGGAAAGTCTATAGGTTTCCTATAAGAAATATCTATAGGTTTCCTAATGGAAATTTCCGTAAGGGGTCCTTAGGTGCTTCCACGCGCGAAAAGCTGCTTTCGAATACAATTCTTAGCGTACCAGTATTTATCTCGCGGTTTCCTTAATGACTCTCGCAGAAATCCCATCGGGGCCAGTCGCCTTGCCCTATCATGTCCACGATCGTCTCCTCGGTGATGGACATATCCTCGATGAGTACCGAGGTCACCTCCTCCAAAGTTGGTGCCGAGTCGGATTCCACAATGAAAACGGAAGCGGTGTCTGCGCTCATGAAACGTGTCGTTTATCGTGCAAATATCAGGAGTTGACTCGAGCTACCGAAGTCATCATTCGGGATGATGAAGTGATGGGAACGCTGGAACGGACGTTGCGAAACTCGATGGACGCTGATCGATTCGGTTGGAAAGTATTGTGTCGGAGGCAGTTATGCCAAGTGTTGCCAGACGTCCCGAAAGCATCTCGCGGTTAAATCATTGAGACTCGCGTAGAAATGAGCCTATTGTGGTCATTGTTCCGAACGATTCGTTTGACAGAAAACATGCGCGTTGCTGCAGACGAAATTCGATGTACTCGATGTTTTCTCGATGGGGGCAGTGAACATTTTCCACGCGCACAGGGTGATTCATCTTAGATCTCCTTTTGTTTATCATCTGATTGTATCTCCGATAACATGGTGGACGAACTGGTAGGGCAACGACACAGGGTCTGCGATGCCGAATTGAGAATTAAGCGCGCTCATACTGTGTCCCTAGAATGAGCATTTCTGTTTGGTCAATGAATATGTGTCGTTTCAATGATAAGGCGAATTGCGGACACATTACAGTGAATAACGATCATGGTTGTGATGACGCCGATCGTCGGGACACCTTTCCGGTTGAATTATTCAACAATCTCAATACGCTGGATTTTTTCTGAATGAGCTAAACTTAGAAATTGAAGCTATCCTGATGTGGCTACGGAGTCGTATGATTGGGAACGACCGTTCCAACGACACGGCTATGATCGTTGGACACCTGAAGGCAATTGTGCGAATATGAGGGGGGTTCAAGTGAAAAGTAGGCAGTGGCTGCTTCTCTTAGTCTAAAGTTAGGCTAGCGTATGAGACTAAAAGTCCCCATTTCATTTTAACACCCATAGTAGTTCAGGTGATCTGATGCATATATGTTCCAATGCGTACAGTAGATCAATCTTTGGCAACGGGAACCAATCTAAGACTCTTCGTGGTTTTGAGCAGTGATAGCATGTATATGCACGTGTAGAAGGCCGTAATTGCGGCCACAGGCCGCTAGTTATATTAGACTACGCTAAGGCGTGTCATGGTAGGTGTAGGCACTGGCCTATAAAGCTTAGAGCAAGACATTGGCATACATGCCTGTGCCTTTTCAGGACCTAGGTTAGGTGGAATGGGTTAAAAAAATTTAGAATATGTGTTGTAATGCGCCCGCGGAAGAGAAGCAGCGAGGCTGGGAAGATATGCACTAACTAGTTATGAGATATGCACTCACTAGTGTGCAACGTGAATACGTTAAGTTCAAGATGACAGCTGCATTAATTGTGGAACAACATAAGGCTGTCGAGACTGGGACAGCGCACGTGCGCATCGAACCTTTAATCCATACTCGAGCTTGTTGCCTGGGACGCCCAACGGCATTCCAGCTGTTCTGCACTATCTCCACCATGCGGATGTTGAAAGCCCTGTTGGGCATTGCCTGATTTTGCCTTTCATCGCTTCGAAATTAAAACTTTGGAAATCCAAGTTCACAAGAGACGTTACCCTCGTTTTGCCAAATTGTTATTGATCAAATTGTGCGTGTTTTTTGCATTAACTGTGAAGTGTGAAGTTCACACTCACTTCACAGTGAGTGTGAACTCTTTTACTTTTCACTTGGCATACTATCAACCAGAAATTCCATTGGCTGCTGTAAATAACAATATTTTTAGTCATGGGGATTCTCCTTCCCTTACCCTCTTCCAGTCAAACTCGCAAAGAATGCTCATTTCTCGAAATATGACGTCATAGCTTGCCATAACATCCACCTTCCCCTCTCTTTTCCGATGATGGAAATTCCAATAATGAGTGACGAATATGGGACGTCAATGTTGTATATTTAGTCTGTGGGACCTTAAATGACCTTCATTATAATCTATGTTTGCACTATAACCGAAGTAAAATTTCATGTACCTCACTGTCTCCATGCCGGAACCTGGGGCCCTTGGTCGTTATAAAGGAATTTTCGTTATAACTGGGTTCTTCCATACATGATCTCTTGCGAGGGGAGGGAGTTTCGCTCGCTGCGCAAGCGGTAAGCTCTACAGCTTGGACGTCATCTCTCTTGCATCCTTTCCTTTTCTTTGACGGTAGAGGGTTTCCTCTCTCACCCTTGGGATTCGACGTTTCCTGAAGTTCATCGTTCCGCACTCTACGAGCATTCCATTCTGCCAAAAAAAAATTAACGGGAACGGACAGGCTCAATGTTTAAAACATCATTTTCAGCATGAAATGAAAGCATGGGAATTTTTTTATTATTTGTGATCATAATGGAAATGAAAATAAATCCATTGACATGTGATTGATGAGTTCCTTTCCCTTTTATGCAAATTCCATATTAGCATATAGCATTGAATCAACATGGATTCTATGCTTATTAAGTATCCGGACGTTCAATCAAGATTGAATCAATGTTGATTACATGGTTGTTTGCTACTAGTGTGAGATGCAAAGAAGCATGACAAGGTCGGACAAACATATAGTATGGCTGTTCTGCAACTTACTACGAAGAGAGGGCTACATTAACCTGCTGAGTATTGCATAGGGTGGCCTATGAGACCCATGCAGTTATAATGAAAGTAATGACAGTTTTAAAATATTTCCTGACAATAGAAATGCATTGTCTCCACAATGATTCATCTCTAGTTGCGCATAACATTGAAACAACATTGATTCAACGTTAATTAAATATCCGGCCGTTGAAATAACGTTGAATCAATGTTGATTCGATGTTATAAGCTACTGGGGATATTTCAATAATCTTATAAGCCAATGTGAGCTTAATCGTGCATAACAGCGTCCTGCACGAGCGTCACATGCAGCCGGATTCTCTCATCATTTGAGTGGATGATGCTCGCAAAGGCGTTGGAAGCAGTTGTTTTCCGTTTTCCCACACCATGCCTACGTACATGGTCCTCTTGACCTTTACAAACGACTACAGCAAATTGCCTCATGTCATTGGAAACGGACTAAGAGTTGGCTACCGTTGGGAAAATTTGGCAAGGTGATTGTCACGATAATGTTGCGGTATTCCATTCGAAACGATTGGAGTTTCCGTCAGAGTAGAAAACCTTTTCGATGGAGGAAGATACGAACGCTCGTTATATTCGCGAGTTTGTTAGGCAGTATAACGGCGCAAACTTATTTGTTTCCTTTTGGTTCAATGATTGTTGACATTTACCGGGAACGATCCTTACTGCTTTAAAGCATCCGGCGATGTCTTTGATTTTACCACGACTAGTCTGCATCCATTAGATAATGTCCCGCTGCTAAATTAAAGTCAACAAATAGCATAAACTCAACCCTCATTTTATGATGCAGATGAAGTGGTTCAAATGCAGCGACGCATGACGATTCAGAACGGGAAGTGCGTCGCTGTTTCTTATCGATGTAGCATGTGGCACTGGCAAACACTTCCTTACACAACACGAATTCACATACTGAATGTGGTTTTTTTTTGTGCAAAAAATCAGGCGATGATTTTAGCTACTAACCTCATCATTTAGGATGAAGAGCCGATGGCGTCCCCTAAAGCGCTTGCGGCTGTGGAACGGCGTTGTGAGACTCAATGGACGATGGCCAATTAGCAGAGAAAATACTTCGGGTGTCCGGAAAGTAATGAGAATCGTTTGTAAATTTGTAACTCTACAGGTAGTGCACTTATCACTGCTCATGCATTTAGATCAATATGTTATATCTGTGATTACCGATTTTCAAGTCAATCCGTTGAGTGCTTTCAGAGCAGACCTCAAAAGACTTGATTAAAGAAATATTGTTTTTAACAATTTGGAAATGACTACAAGCGCTGAGAACTTTCGCTTCTACGCGTTCACATGGTTCAAACTTGGCATTGCGGCCGCTGCCTGTTACAGGAAACTGGTCCCTGTGTATGTCAAGTCTAGTGTCTTTCGGTGGTTCAACAACTTCAGAGAAGCAGCTGAAGAGGAGGAAGAGCGTTCCTTTCTCGACCAGCCCACATTAGCCGTCCAAGGTTCACCCAGACACCAGAACTTGTCGAGACGGTGCGAGAGCTGGTGGATGAAGACTGCCTAATTACTACTCGAGAGCTGGATGAGGGGCTCGACGTTGGTAAGAGTACTGTCTACGAGGTGCTCACACAGGACCTTCAGCTGCTCAACATGGCATACGTCTGGGTACCGCACCGACTAACCGAGGACAACAAAGCGGCTCACATCAATGGTGCCAAGAACATCAGGGACATCTTTTTCCGCGAAGGCGTGGGGGCTTTCTGCAACAATCTCTACAAGGCCATTTGCAACAAGCTCATTCCGTGTAACAGGCAGCGGCCGCAATGCCGAGGTTGAATCACATGAACGTGTAGAAGCATAGGTTCCCAGCACTTGTAGCCATATCCAAATTGTTAAAAACAGCCTGTGTTGCACTGAGTTTATATAACTGTGTTTTGAGGTCTGCTCACTAAGCACTTCTCAACGGATTGACTTGAAAATCGGCAATCACAGAGATTACGTATTGATCTAAATGTGTGAGCAGTGGGAAGTGCATTGCTTGCAGAAATACAAATTTACAAACGATTCTCATTACTTTCCGGACAACCGAAGTAGTTGCGCTGGATGGTGATATTCGCCAAATTTTGCCAGTCGTTCACAAAGCATCTCGCGATTAAATCATTGAGACTTGCGTGAAAATGAGCCTGTTGTGGCCGTCGTCCCAAAAATTCGTTTAACCGAAAATATGCGTGCTGCTGAAAACGAAATTATATTCACTCAATGTAGGCAGTGAAACGTGTCCGCGAGTACAGGGCCATCCATCTGAGTTATCCGTGCGTTTACCAGGCCATATATCCGATAAAATGGTGAACGAGCTGTTTGGGCAAGGACACAGGGTCTGCGATGCCAAAGAGAGAAGCAAACGCGCTCATTCTGTTTCAAAAGAATGACCACTCACGTTTGGTCAACGAGGACGTGCCGTCCCGATTAAAAGGCGAATTTCGGATACATCACAGTAATGACATTGTGAAGAACGATCATGGTGGTGATGGCGTCAATCGGCGTGCCACCTTTCCGTTTGAATTATTTGACAGCCTCAATACTTAGTGTCTCTTTCCGCACGCCCTAAACCTAAAAATTGGAGCTATCCTGATACGTATATGATGTAATATGATTCGCAACGGCCTTTGCAATAACACGCTTATGATCGTGCGAAATTTGAACGCAAATGTCTTAATACTAGGAGTAGTATAAAAAAAAGGGTAGGTTTCACAGGCTGGAGCTGCCTTGAGCAGCCTGGAGCAATATCTTATTTATTATATAACCATAATTCCATATGATTTAACCTCAGGTCATCATTGATTTATACGAGTACTCAGTGAATTAACATTGAATTATCGGCTGCAAGATGATTTTCATTAACCACGTACCTTAATGAAGCGATTTTTCGATTTGGTAAATATTATGCCATGAATCTTGCGCCATAATATCCCAGTTTAATTGACTCTCGTCATTACCGTTTTGTATCAGGGAAATCAATAGGCTCGGATGAAAGATTTAATTATGCCAACGTGTTGAGACACGTTATCTCCCGATCGTGCTGCCCCCCTTTTTCCCTCGCGCTATTTTTACACAACCCAACCTCACGGTCATTAACCCTGAGTTGCGGAAGGGAGCAACGTGTATGTTGGGAAAGAAAATGCACAAGATTCGAGTATCCTGGTGTCACTTTCATTCAGTCGAGAAGATGGAAGGTGATAGCACTGACACTGCGTTCGTCAAGCCCAACTATTATTTCGCCCTCGCGTTGTTCACTGAGAACAAACGCAGGAAGACTTTCAACTGTGTTTCTGCAATAGCTGGTTACGTGAATGTGGACGAGCTCGTCAGGTGGGGATTCTATCTGGACGTTGATCCCAAGACCGCATCGAAGGTACACGACAACTTGGAAGAATTATCAAAGCTCATCGTTTGCTGTGCATTTTGCCGAGGGAAATGCAGTTTGAAGACCTTCTTCATATCCCAAGACCGCATCGAAGGTACACGACAACTTGGAAGAATTATCAAAGCTCATCGTATTCTGTGCATTTTGCCGAGGGAAATGTAGTTTGAAGACCTTCTTCATCACCAGCGAATCGAGTGAAACTATTCGTCCGCGACATCGTCATTTACCTCCTGGCTACGAAGCATATTCCACTCCGCCAAGCGTCTACGAATGTCACAAGGAAATGAATTGGCTCTGCCCCCTGCTGACGGGCAAATGTCTTTCGAACGTGGAATTTTGATCTCGTGCTCTGGGCAAGGGTTATCCATCTGACGATGAAGATTTCAACCCCAACCGGAAGAAGATGCTGTGCCATGCCGGACGACTCTGGTCGTTTGAGTTCTTTCCGAAGAGATACATTGTATCTACTGATGAAATGGCAAGATGGGGTCTATATTATACCGGGATCCGCGACGAGACAGCTTGTATTTTTTGCCGTCTGATCATTCACAACTGGGAATACGGAGACAATCCGTACGAGGAACACCGTAGATTTTCCCCCAACTGCCCATTGATTAGAGGACGTAACATCATGGATATCCCATACGAGAATTCACTCAATCCTGACGACCTTACCACGGAAAAGGAAGGAAAGGAGATGATCGATGCTCTAAACAGACGATCTCCAACAAGTTCCTTCAAATCGGGTAAGTTCGTGTCTCTCATTTTTCGTCAGGTAACGAATAAACTCTTTACTGATTTATTCTCCTGTCTACAGACGCTTCTTTAGAGCTGATCGTTGAGGAAGACGCGGATTTCCACCATTTTTCCGGAGCAGATGCGCAAGGAGGGGAGAAATAAAAAGCAGTGTCCTCAATCGACTCAACCGCTGCATACGTGTACCAACTCGGATCGGTTTAAATATATATGTTCATCTGTATATACGACACACTCTGATTCATGCTTAATCTTGTTAATAAAGCATTTATCTTGAAAACCTATTTCGTTTCATTGAAAGAGAAAAAGAAGGAAGTGTATCATCAAAAGAATGTCTATCGAGCGGGCACGAACAGCCAAGTGAATTAATATTTAGCAGTGAATCATTATTAAAATAAGCAAGGTTTCTCCTCTCGACAATACAACAGGGTTTCCTAACATCATCCTAACATGTGTAGAAATTTCAGGTTTCAATACATTTCTCAGACGAATTGCTGATGCGAGACGGCACGGAGTCAGGGCATGAGAGACAACGAGGGCTAGCAGAGAGACTCAGCTTGTAAAAGTAATTTAATGTGTGTATACGTGAGGGGGGGGGAGTCAGTAACAGCTGGTGGTATGAGAGAAAAGAAGGGAGACCAGACACCCTCATCTCTCCTGTTTTTCTCCCTCTCACTCTCTCTCTTTCTTCGCGCGAGTGCGCATGCAAATAATGGAGAGCAAGCAGTGGCCATGTACTGAGTGCGGGCGGCGATTTAGCAAGAAAGGAGATCGAGACCGTCATCGACGCACACACCTCAACCGGGTAATGCATAGTTTGACATCCTAACACATCTAATAATTCATATTGGATATAATTACGATAGTGCTAATGGTTATGTAGGACGAGCGTCCTGTCTATCCATGTCCACATTGTGAAAAATGCTTCTCTCGAAAATACAACCAACAAAATCACTCTCGTCTATGTTTGCTTCGCGCACCAACACCATTAGATGTGACGCCGCACAATCAAAGATTTCCTCTCGAGATTACCTTATGCAATGCCCATCACACTGGGATTCCGACAGATCATCCTGATGATTCACTCGAAAATAGACAATGCGAGAACGCCCAGGTACGAGATGCTGCTGCTACCGCATTTGTTTCGTTTGCATTGTC